GCTTTATCCAATCCCCACAAATTAAGTTCACTGTCTTTTGTAGCATCAAAAATGTAATTTTCAAGTATAAAATCACATTATCAAAAAAAAAGTGCATCTGAAACAAATTCAGTAAGTCCTTGCTCATGTAGCAGTAAAAAAAACTAAAGTTTTCAAATGTTCAACATTTTGAATTAAAGAAAAGTGCATTGTAAACAAACAGCAACAGTGTGCATCTGAAAAGTACAATTCAAGCGTTGGAGATTTGGCATTGAAGGTGATTTAGATAAAGTTAACAGTCTGTCAGAGTCCGGAACTATTCTTGAAAAAAAATAAAATGAGAGCTCGCTTCTCAGTCAGAAGGCGCTTGACCATGTAGAAAGAGCTATTCCATCTTGTCTGGACGTCTAGAACGAGACGAGCTGGAGTGGATGTGGTTCCCGCTCCCTGCATTTCACGCTGCAGGTCTTCCAAGCGAGACTGCGCCAGTTGGGAATGCTTGAAATGTGCGACAATCTTTCGGCTGTTTGCTAATGCATCGCTAACACTGCGTTGCAACATCAGCCCTTCATGCACTACGAGCTGCAGCATGTGAGCAAAACATCCCAGGCTAGGAACTGCCATGTCTTCCAAAGCGGCTTTCACGTTACTTGCGTTGTCCCGTAGAATGACGTGCACCTTTTCCAGAGGAATCCCCCAGTTATTTAGCATCTCGGCAATGGCGGCTGCTATTGTAGCTCAGATTTGTGAACCCCGCACTTTTTGACCTGAAGCATCGCGCAACAGAAGTGATGTGTCCCGGAGTCAACCCAGTGCACTGTAAGACTTATCAGTGACATTGGGCAGACATCTGAAGTTTATGTTTATGTTTATTCATTTCGCAGACACTTTTATCCAAAGCGATGTACAAGTATTTATTTTTTTTTTTATAACCTATAGGGCATGTTGTGATGTGTGGGGGAAACCGGAGTACCCGGAGGAAACCCATGCATGCATGGGGAGAACACACAACTCCACGCAGAAAGGCGAGTTTTGAACCTGCGACCTTCGTGCTGCGAGGCAACAGTGCTAACCACTGTGCCACCATGCAGTCCAAATATCTGTAGTGAAGCTCAGGGCTGGAATTCCTTTCAGCTTCCCGGCTAACTTGGCTGACACTCGGTTGTATAGTTCAGGTAGCGCTGTCTCTGATAAATATGTCCTGGAGGGTAAACTGTACCTTGGCTCCAAGTGTTCAATCAGGCTGCAAAATCCCTCATTTTCCACCACTGATAGCGGTTGGTCATCAAGTACAATGAAGTTGAGCAGCTTTTCTGTAATCCCCATGGCTTTAACGTTGTCTGCGGGGAGTTTACTTTGCTTCTTGAATGACTCCAGTAGTGATTCTTGGTGTCGCTTTTCTCCTTTCTGCCCCCTCGTTAAAAACTCCTCGTGCTCCCTCGGGTGGTGTTTTTTCAAATGTTTGATAAAATTAGTAGTGTTGAAAGTTGAGACGGAGGTTCCACCTCTTGGAACAACAGCTTTGTAAACATTACACGTTGCTGTCTTGCTTTGCGGAGCTTCCAGAGTAAAATATTTCCACACAGCGGACATTTTGTGGATAAAAGTTTGGCGCTGCTCATGCTAGCCAGCTACCTGTAAACTGCGGTGAGTGGACTTCCTGAAAGGAGCCGCGTCATCTCTCTGTGCCTTCGGGGCACAGAGAGCACCTCCCAGCCCGGGATGTCTTATTTAGACATTACACAAGAGATAATTCTGGATCGGAAATTTGTGCAGGTTGGGTCGGAATTTTCCGATCCGTGATTTAAGTCCAAATCGGAGCCCGATTCCGATACTGGATCGGATCTGCCCCATCCCTAGTCGGAACCGCAGCTCTGCTACCAGCTCGGTGTCCAGAGAGGGTCCGGGTGGACCTCGGCATTCCTGATCTCACAGAGGACTTCCACCAGGCAGGTAGGCGTGGCTTAATGGTGTCTCATGCAGTTCTGAAACGAACCCCAGCTTATTCCAAACCAACATCTTCAGTTCCCGTCAGAACTAATCGCTTCTTCGGATTTGCGGGTTCTGATTTACATGACACGTCATCCATTCACCGCCTCATCCATTTTTAGTCGCACTATACACTTAGTTCTTAAATAAGCCTAGTTTAATTGTTAGTAATAAAATTTCTTAACTTTTAAACTTGACTCGTTCTATTCTGTTGTCTCTGAGTGAATACATAACGGTTACATGATCTCTGCATTAAAAAGACCCAATCTTCTGGTTTAACCAACCCCGATCCATGAGGCGGATTTCATATTTCCTATGGAATCCCACGCCTTACGGCTCATTAATTAAAATGTAAGAACCTCATTTTTCCCTTACAGCTGAGTCCCATTCTGTCCCGCTCTGAACGTGAGACAGTTCTCCACACCTTCATCTCCTCACGCTTAGACTACTGTAACTCTCTTTTCACGTGTCTGAGCAGAACCTCCCTGAACCGTCTACAGGTGGTTCAGAACGCCTGTGCTCGGCTTCTGACCAAGTCCTCCAAACACACCCACATCACCCCGATTCATGAAAAAAACACTAAAACTGAGTTATTTTCTAGATAAGACTTTTTTTTTTTTGCCTGGGGTGTTTAGTACAAATCAGTCTTGATTATGTTATGAAATATCTAAACTTTAGAATTTTTTGCATTTATAGTTTTTACATAGCAACACATTTAAAATTGACTATACACTCGAGCCATTAGAGGACAAAAACGTCCCATTGACTTTAATGCAAACCACAGGTTTTGATCCTGTATTATCTGCAACAAATAATCATGCTTTCTGTGATGTTATGGTTTCATTTTGGACAAAAGTAGAATTCAGTCATGTCTCCATATGTTGCCCAGGCGAGAAAGTTTACACATTTCTTTAGATCTTCTGCTGTTTTTATTGAAGTCAAAAGGCCAACCTGACCTCTGATAAGTAAATAAAACACAGTTTGACTCTCCTACTGAACTTCAAAGTGTAGAAAACAAAAACAATTAGTATGTTGATGCACCTGCCACATTCAAACTCCGTGTAGTCTGGTTATCTGGTCATTTCACTTCTGTGAAAGCCACGGAGCTAAATGAAGAGGCATCTCTCTGTGGAACAAGTTCTGGATCAGCTCCTGCAGCCTGATACTCCTGGAGAAAATGAGGAGAGTGAAACATCTTCAGTGGACTTTGAGGTGGAGTCAGACCATTCTGTTTCCTTGACTTCTTCTCCTGACCTGTCCAGTGAAAGAGAAGGGAGGACAACGGATCCTGCTCCAGGATGGATTTCTAAAAGTGGGCAAGTCTGGTTTCCTACTAACGCAGAAACTTCCCACTATGTTCCTGCTGCAAGATGTTTGGATCCTGGGCCAACACGTTACGCCATCACACGTATTTACGATGTGGTATCCTCCTTTGATTTATTCTTTACTCCAGAAATGACTGAAATCATCGTCAACATGACAAATCTAAATGGAAGACGTGTGGTGAAGAACTGGTGGGATATTGATGACATCGCAGTGAGAGCATACATTGGGCTCCTGATTTTGGCTGGTGTGTACCAGTCCAAAGGGGAATCCACCTGCAGCCTTTGGGATGACCACTGTGGACGTGCAATCTTCCTGGCCACCATGAGTCACACCAAATTCAAGATGATCAACTCCACCCTCCGGTTTGATGATGAGCTGAACAGGCCTTCCCGTCTCAGGCAGGACAAGCTGGCCCCTATCCGCTCGATTTGGGACATGTGGACCCATCGCCTCCAAATGCTTTTCAACACTGGGTTAGATGTGTGTGCTGATGAGCAGCTTGTCCCTTTCAGAGGCAGGTGCAAGTTTCGCCAACATATGCCAAGTAAACCAGCAAAGTACGGATTGAAACTCTGGGTCACTGCTGATGTTGCCACTTCCTATGCCTGCAAGTGTCAGGTTAACACAGGGAAAGCTGCTGGTGAAGCTGCAGAGGTCGGCCAGGGAAAACGTGTCATTTTGGAGATGACCGAAGAGCTCCAAGGAGTCACTTCACATGCATGCATTCACACTTCTGCCCTTTCATAACAAACTGAACTACAAAGAGTTTGGATGTGCCTGAGCTCCAGCCAGGTGCATAAACATATTGTTTTTGTTTTCTACCCTTTGATGTTCAGTAGGAGAGTGAAACTGTGTTTTGTTTACATGCTGAGCTTCTGACTTCAATAAAAACAGCAGAAGATCTATAGAAATGTGTAAACTTTCTCGCCTGGGCAGCATATGAAGAAATGACTGAATTTGGTGGTGAACAGTAAAAATCATAAATTTGACTACTTTTGTCCAAAATGAAACCATTACATCACAGAAAGATGAATATTTGCTGCAGATAATACAGGATCAAAAACTGTGGTTTGCATTGAAGTCAATGGGACGTTTTTGTCCATAACAGGCACAAGAGGGTGGTAAATTTTAAATCTGCTGCTACACAAAAACTAAAAAAGCATAAAATGTGATATTTTGCTAGACTCTTGACATATCCAAGGCTAATTCCATGCTGTCGTTCTTTTTAAAACACAGAAACGGTTTCGTTACCTGTTTTTTTTTTTAGAAAATAACTCAGTGCTGTTTTTTTTTTCTTTTTTCTTCATAAATTACATCAATGACTTTTGAGTATTCAAACTGGCATTTCAGGGGTTAAAAGCCTCAAAATGATTGAATTTTTTTTATGTTTGAGCAGGGCTGAAGTTGTTCAACAGATCTATGAAAAAAAGTAAAAAAAAAAAAAAAAACGTGAATGTATACATTTTTATAGCCACTTTTACAAGCGGACGTTTTTGTCCTTGTCCTCTAATGACTCTTGTATGAAAATTAAAGTGAAGCCTGAGAGTTAAGGCGCATATGATTTATAGAGGCTCAAAGTTCAGTTTCCAGTTGTAAATACATTTCATTCTACTGTCAGTTTAAAGAAATAATACAACTGTTATATGTGTGAAAACACAGTTACAGCTGTCTGTCATTCACATAATATGTTTCTGTGTTTCCTACAGATTTTCAACAGGTGGTTCTGGTTAAATAAGAAGCTTCAGAAGAACAGAGCGCTCGTGTCAACCACCAGCACCTAGATTTTCTCCACAAAAAGGAGGAACAGGAGAAACTCTGGTCTAATATGGAGGGAGATTATCTCCATTTGAATAAGGAGACTGATGATGCCAGGCTTCAGTCTTTTAGCCAAAAAACAAATTTAAACAAACACACGAGAGTCCAGACAAAGCAGAAACATTTTGCCTGTGAGCACTGTGGACAAAGGTTTCACCAAAAGACTAATTTAACCACACACATGAGCGTCCACACAGGAGAGAAGCCTTTTGCTTGTGAGCTCTGTGGAACGAGATTTAGCCAAAAGACAAATTTAAACAGACACATGAAAGTCCACACAGGACAGAAACCCTTTCCTTGTGAGCTCTGTGGAAAGAAATTTAGCTTAAAGTCAACTTTAAACAGACATATGAGTGTCCACACAGGACGGAAGCCTTTTGCTTGTGAGCTCTGTGGAAAAAGATTTAGCCATCAGACACATTTAAACCGTCACATGAGAGTCCACACTGGAGAGAAGCCCTTTCCTTGTGAGCTCTGTGGAACGAGATTTAGCCGAAAGACACATTTAAACCGTCACATGAGAGTCCACACTGGAGAGAAGCCCTTTCCTTGTGAGCTCTGTGGACAAAGGTTTAGCCGAAAGTCAAATTTAAACATTCACTTGAGAGTCCACACTGGAGAGAAGCCTTTCGCTTGTGAGCTCTGTGGTAATAGATTTAGTGAAAAGGGAAGTTTAAACAGTCACATGAGAGTCCACACTGGAGAGAAGCCCTTTCCTTGTGAGCTCTGTGGACAACAATTTAGCCAAAAGACACATTTAAACAGACACATGAGAGTCCACACTGGAGAGAAGCCCTTTCCTTGTGAGCTCTGTGGACAAAGGTTTCACCAAAAGACTGATTTAACTACACACATGAGAGTCCACACAGGAGATAAGCCCTTTCCTTGTGAGCTCTGTGGAACGAGATTTAGCCGAAAGACAAATTTAAACAGTCACATGAGAGTCCACACAGGAGAGAAGCCTTTTCCTTGTGAGCTCTGTGGTAATAGATTTAGTGAAAAAAGAAGTTTAAACACACACATGAAAGTCCACACTGGAGAGAAGCCTTTTGCCTGTGAGCTCTGTGGAAAGAAATTTAGCTTAAAGACAACTTTAAACAGTCACATGAGAGTCCACTTTGGACAGAAGCCTTTTGCTTGTGAGCTCTGTGTAAAAAGATTTAGCCAAAAGACACATTTAAACAGTCACATGAGAGTCCACTTTGGACAGAAGCCTTTTGCTTGTGAGCTCTGTGTAAAAAGATTTAGCCAAAAGACACATTTAAACAAACACATGAGAGTCCACACTGGCTTTTCGCCTGTGAGTTCGGTGGAAAAGATTCACCCAAAAGATCAGTTTAAAAGGTCACAGAAGAGTCCATAAAGGACAGAAGCCTTTTGCTTGTGAGCTCTGTGGACGAAGATTTCGCTGAAAGAAAACTTTAAACAATCATCTAAGCATCCACTAGGGCTGAACGATCTATTGCAGGGGTCTCCAACGTTTTTTGGCCCGTGAGAGAAAACTTTAAACAATCATCTAAGCATCCACTAGGGCTGAACGATCTATTGCAGGGGTCTCCAACGTTTTTTGGCCCGTGAGCTACTTTTACACAATGAAGTACAGCAGAGTTACTGCCATATAACTTATTTACATTGATACTTTCCATGTGTGAATGTGCTTATGTTAAACATGCTATACTTACTATATTAGCATGCACTGTACTCACAAGTTGATTTCTCTGTATTTCAGTACATCAGTATATATATTTTAAAAGTATAAGTAAACTAGTGACATTCTGAAAACCAAATTGAACAAAACATATTTAGTTTTTTAAACTAATCGGATACTTTCAGATAATGAATAACAAATCTACTTCATGTGAATGATTTGATAATTTTTTTAGAAGGTTGGTAACATAACTTTTTAAGCGCACAGGAACAGCTAACCTGTAAAGCTGATGATATGTGATAGGTAATTTTAGATTTATCCCATATTACCTTAAAGGACGACACACAGAGAGAGAGAGAGAGAGAGATTATTTGTAATGTCCATGAATCGTCATGCGAGAGCTGGGCGCAGAAACCCCTCCATGGTGCTAACCAGCCCCCCTCTTTTCCTGGGGAAAGCCTTCAGGTCACCAGCTCTGCATGCCCCGGCATCTCCACCAAATGTTAGGTAATTAAATGTTAAGTGATATTTAATCTCCATAACCCTGAAACCTAAAATCAACACACATGACAACAAGGAAGACATTTTACCCTGAGTCCCCAAAATAATGGAGAGGTAACGCGGGGAAAAACCTCCTCCAAGGCTTTTCCCCCGTCACTCCCAAATCTCAGTTTCCCAGGGGCTTTATTCACAAAGGATGGAGGAGAAGACGGGCCTTCTCAGGTTACAGAGGTACAGAGGTTTCCTAGGAAATCTACAATCAACATCCTTGCCTGCAAACAAGCTTCTCTGCTCAACCTTTCATAAACAGCCACAGTTGGCAAACACAAGAGATTCATGAAGTGTTAATGACACAAAATGGGCATCTTTTAGGCCTCAAAAAGGTACAATTATAAAAATACCCAACAATATGTTAAATAAAATACAAGCTAAATGTGATGAAAACACAAAAGTCTAAATAGTTTGAATTGAAGTAAAAAATGTAAAATCAGAAATAAGACTTGTTCCTGCTCTCCTGATTTACTGAATAATTTTTATGGGTTTTTTTTTTTTTTTTTGGTCATGAAAGTTAAGTTTTGCTGCGTTTATTGCTGACAATATGAAGGTTGGAGGTTTATCCTTTTTTCTGCATCTTGTAGGTTTTTTTCTCCGCACGTCTCTAAATAAAGTAAAATTTTCTAGTGCAGAGTGGAGACAACCCATAGAAGCACTGATTTGATCTCATTTCAGAGAAAAATAGAACAGGTTAGATGCACCTAATAAATAAAATTATAACAAACTCAGGAATCTGTTTCTTTGCTTCACTGTTCTGGTGCTGAGAATATCACTAATGCGGATCAAAGGAGATACACAGATGAATGCACCTCTTATTTATTATTTGGAGTCTACATTTACTGCAGCTGGCAGAGGCAGAGATTTTTTCTATTGATACACGGAATTTACAGAATCATTTTAAATTTTAATAGGGCAAGACTGCAGGAGGGAGCGGTAAAATACAGGGGGTCCCCATTAAAAACAAGAAACTTTACGAGTCTGATGAAACCCGCTGGTTTTCCATCAGGCAGTCATGGGGCAGCTCCAACGACCCAGTGGCTGTGCTGGGTCAAGGTTATCGAGCCCAGTCCGGCTCAGCCGCGAACGAGCTGAGGCGATGACGTACTCTGCTTGAAGAGGTGTTTTTTTCCCGCTTCAGAAGAAGCGTTGAATGTGTTTTTACGCTTTCTCCGAGACATGTCACGTCGCTAAGTTGTTAGCGCCGCGCGATAACACGTCAATAGTGCAGCGTAGCCTGCTGGAGGTTTTAAGGGTTCAGATGAAACACCCGACCTCTCAGGCTGCTCACACATCGATCTTAAATTGTCGCTGTTGCGCTCACGCCGTCATACAGTATTAGATGCGGTTAAAGTCAGACATGAAAAAATAAATAAATTTTACATGAATAAGTGATGCTTATCCTGGTGGGGAGAGGAAACCCTGTCAAGATCGTCAACGCTCGTTTATCTTAATGCTATTGAAACATGTAAACCAAAAAGCATTATATCCACTGCTACCTTTATGCTGTAACTTCACCCTGCCCTGCCTGCTCCTCCTTGCTGCCTGCCGGCTGTGATCACAAGCGACAACATAGTAGTTCCCGCTGCTTCCTCGTGAAACAGCTCAAAAAAAAAAATCAAAACTTGGGATTTCAGCCGTGGCGGGCCGCCACGCCTATGTGAGGAAAACCCTGGTGTAGTTATTGTGTAAAGCAGTATATACTAGGAATGATTAATAAAAATAAAAACTAGAATTGAACATGAGTTACATAGTAATAACAATTTATGAATTCAGAATCAATTCACTAACTTACTAATTACCATGTAAGTACTAAGTAATTAGAGGACTGTAAAATAAAGCGCTACCAAAAATTGTACTTAATATGCTTTTATTTTTGTGTGCTATGTTCTGTGTCAATATTCTTTGATTTTATTTTACACAACATGATGTGACATTTTAACTATTTCATTTCACTTGTGATTGTTTTAACTATGTGAAGCACATTGGGCTACCGTTTTGTGTATGAAATGGGCTATATAATAAACTTGACTTGAGAGAGAGTTCACAATCATGTTTTGTTACTAAATGAGACACTCAGCTGAAACTGGGGGAAATATATGATGATTCTAAATCACAGGAGATGTCCAGAGTTTTTAAAGCCCGTGTTCATCATGTTGTGGGGGACCACAATGAGGCTACACTCACACCCAGTTCTTGGTACCACAGACGTATATATTGACTTGGGACTGTTTGTATGTAAATATTGTTGACTGCTTGGCCGCTTGATCAGAACCAGAAACGTATGTGTAACAGACCATCTGGGTGTTCAAGGGGCCGTATGTGGAGGGCCACACAGAGGCTACGCTCACACCCAGTTCTTTGGACTGTTTGTATGTAGATGTAGCAGGACTGGTTGGTGTCTCAACCAGTTGATCGGCCAGCCTATCACACATATTAATCAAACCAGCCCACCATTAAAACATATTACAGATGATAACAACTCTACTGCTTGTACTATAAGATTAATGCACACAATTTAATTTAAGACATTTAACTGTGTGCGCGTGTGTGTTTGCACTGAATGTGTTTGTGCACATGGTTCACACGTGTGTAGGGTTAATCTACATACTAGAACTAACGCTGTTGCTATCAGCTTTGTTAGATTCTGAGAAAGACAAACAAGTTAACATATGAAGCTTCTATCATATATAAACATCTAGGATATTAATATAATCGATAGAAGTTCATACACCAACGAGCTTGGTTTATATTTAATCTACGGATTAATATTTAATTTAAGATATTTAAATTAATAGCAAAAGTTTATTTATTAAACAGAAGACTTAATAAGGTTCTTTGCTGATTCAATAACTGAAAATGCACACCATTCTGTGTTTCATTCAATGAAGAGTCAGGTTTAAAAATTTAAGAATTTATTACTAACAATTTCAAATCTGACAACTTAAAATAGACAATTTATGAATAACAATTTATAAATGATGAATTTGAACAACAATTTTGATATTAAAACTTGTTATTAAAGCAACCCCTGTGTCTGGATGGAAAACTAAGTGGAATGATGAGGTTTGGATGCGTGAATGAAATCTCAGACGCTTTCTTTCAGAGGGAGAATGCGTTCTGGGTGAAACGTTGGTTTTGCAGCTAACTGATGGTTTCTTAGAACAACATCGGACGCAATCTGTGTTCTACCTCACCGTTCAGACGACCCTCTGTGTGGATCTGGAGGTCTGGAGGATGTTGTCAGCCTCAGGGGTACTCAGGTCCGGCAGATGACCAAGGGTACCGACTTTCTCTGGTCCTAGAGTTGCCGTGAGGTGCACAGGTAGATGTGGCTTTGCATCCGGGCAGATTCTTAAGGAATCTCGTAGTGTCAGCTGGTTATAGGTGCGTTTATTCTGAGCTATTCTATCGGCGTGACAGAACGCTTAGTGAGGAGTCAGGCGGCCGACCCTTCTCCTCTGGGATACTCTCGTTGTCACGAAGAAGTATCAGCTTGGTTCAAGAACTGAACTTAAGCTGTGGAGCTTTGGTTTTAACAAAACCTCAGAACACGCCCTCTCAGAGACAGGAAGCATGACTATGGAAGACATGTGAGGCAGTTACCTTGAAGTGAGTCCTGCATGAGGTGTAAACACGTGCAAAAGACCTTCTGGTTACTGAACACACATTACTGATTATCATAAATAATAATTATTATTAACCAAAGAATAATAAGTCATTTCATTAGTTAAAAATGCATTTATAATGAACCATGATGATCATTTATGATGATTATAGTAAACCTTATAATAAAAGAGTTTATTAAATTATTTGATTAGAGTTGAAGGTCCTTCATCTCGTGATGGAACAGCAAACAGATAAACAGTCAGATTGAAGACGGTGTTATTGTAGACTATTCGGCTCCTGGTGGTTTAATCTGTGGATGGAAGTTACAGCTCGACCCAGCTGTGACCCAGCTGGAAAGAGTGAACTTTGCCCCACAAAATGAGGCCATTCATGATGCTACACGTGCGACCATCAAGAACAAAGTAGAAATTCAGCGAAAGAAAGCAAATTGACTATATATTAATTTGGTACAAGTGTGAACCTAGAGCCCCACGACTGTTATTATTTTAGGTACGGAGAGTGATCACGCTAGATCAAACAATGGGCTGAGACAATGTCTTCCTCCAAACTTGAGTTTATTTACACACAATGCATAAAACAAGTTCTTCTGTTACAACCTCAACCAGGTCTGGGATCCTGGGAGGGCTAACACAGGTACGTGAGTGCAAAAAAAAAAAAGAAAATAGGGAGCAGTACACCAAATCATATTTGACAAAACAAACATTTTATCAACAAAAAGCGTCCCTCGTCGTCTTCCTCCGCTTATCCGGGTCGCGGGGGCAGCATCCCAACTAGGGAGCTCCAGGCCGTCCTCTCCCCGGCCACCTCCACCAGCTCCTCTGGCAGGACCCCAAGGCGTTCCCGGACCAGATTGGAGATGTAACCTCTCCAATGTGTCTTGGGTCGACCCGGGGGCCTCCTGCCGGCAGGACATGCCCGAAACACCTCCCCAGGGAGGCGTCCAGGAGGCATCCTGACCAGATGCCCAAACCATCTCAACTGACTCCTTTCGAGCCGGAGGAGCAGCGGTTCTACTCCGAGTCCCTCCTGAATGTCCGAGCTCCTCACCCTATCTCTAAGGCTGAGCCCGGCCACCCTACGGAGGAAACTCATTTCGGCCGCTTGTTTCCGCGATCTCGTTCTTTCGGTCATTACCCAAAGCTCATGACCATAGGTGAGGATTGGGACGTAGATCGACCGGTAAATCGAGAGCCTGGCTTTCTGGCTCAGCTCCCTCTTCACCACGACAGATCGGCTCAGCGTCCGCATCACTGCAGATGCTGAACCAATCCGTCTGTCGATCTCCCGATCCCTCCTACCCTCACTCGTGAACAAGACCCTAAGATACTTAAACTCCTCCACTTGAGGTTGGACCTCTCTCCTGGTTGGCAAGCCACCCTTTTCCGGGCGAGAACCAAAAAGCGTCCCTACGAGAGATAAACGACAACACAAAATGGAAGAAGAGTCATTAAGACAAAAATGACATTCCAGAAATGTTCTGAGTAATATGGCCCTTTAACACTCGGCTGTTACGACACCTGGGTTTTACAATGGTTGGCCGTATTATTATTACTGTTTAGTCAGAATTTTTTCCCCTGCTTTGGTAGTTTTCTTCCCATTGTTTTGTTTTCTTTTGGAGTGACAACACCAGATCCAGATACAAGATGGCCGCCTCCATGCTGTTGTCCAGTAACCATGGAAACCACAATGAGCACCGGCAGCCTCATCACTAGTGGATCCCTCCATAGTTCTTCAGGTGGAAGCAATTGGATTAATCGTTTTCTCTGGATCTGGAAAGGATAAAAGGCTGGAGGAACTTTCATTCTGGGAGCTGCTTGTAACCAAGTAGACTCCCTTTGGGCTGGTTTCAGGGTTTTAGAAGTTTAAACATCTTGAAAGAAAATAATTCCTCAGCTTTTATTAAGTCTCTCTTTGGGTTTAGTAATTACTCTTGGTAAAAGAACTACAGAGGCCACTGTTAGAGTTTGAGAGTCTTTTGTGGTTGCTGAATTATTGTGTAGAAGG